AAAAAAATTACTTTCTTGTTGATTGAACCAGAACTAGAGACTGAGTTCCATTCTGGGTGTTGTATTTCCTGGGGCTGGTCTCCCTTTCATGTCTGCAGTAGTCTGGCAAGAACTGTGTGATGTGTATGTATTTCAAGTGCAGAGTTTTGTTGCTTGACTGTTGTATTTTTTAATGGGAAGTTACAGTTTGAATTAAATCTACTTTTTTCAGGATCATTTCTTTGATTTTTCATCTGTCTTTGTTATCAGGACTGTGAAAATGTTTTGCACTTACCTAAAGATGCTGAAGGTGATTTGGATTGCAGGAGGCTTGTTGAGCAGCTGAAGGAATGCCCAACGCTCCATGATCAAGCAGATATCTTATATATCTTGCATATACTAAAGTGAGTTAACTGAGTATAAACTTCAGCATGTTTATAGTTGGTCACAACTATCTGATTATACTTCATAGGATCATAGGATAGGATCAAGGATATCCTGAGTTGGAAGGGACCCATAAGGATCATCGAGTCCAACTCCTGGCTCCACATGGGACCAGCCAAATCAGAGCATATGACTGAGAGCGTTACCCAGACGCTGCTTGAACTCAGTCAAGCTCGGTGCTGTGACCACTTTCCTGGGGAGCCTGTTCCAGTGCCCGACCACCCTCTCAGTGAAGAACCTGTTCCTAATATCCAACCTAAACCTCCCCCATCGCAGCTTCATTCTGTTCCCATGCGTCCCATGGTCACCAGAGGGAGGAGATCAGCGCCTGCTCCACTGCCCCCCCTCGTAAGGAAGTTGTAGGCTGTGATGAGGTCTCCCCTCAGTCTCCTCTTCTCTAGGCTGAACAAACCAAGGGACTTCAGCCTCTCTTCATATGTCTTCCCCTCTAGACCTTTCACCATCTTTGTTGCCCTTGTGCAAAAGCTTTCGAGTGTTTAGGGTTGTATTTTGAGGGGAGAGGTTAAAATATTTTGTGCTTTAACGGGGATATTTTCAATTTGCTTGATTATGTAAATAAATTGCTTGTGCAAATATCAGAGTTGATTGGCACACAATTGTGAATGCATACAGGCTTGAAGGCTCACAGGTGAAATGTACAGATCCTTCCATGAATGACAACACATCTTGCTATATTTGTGGCACTCTGTTAAGTTCACCAAGATTTGGTGTGATTTTTCACAAAGATTTGGTGTGATTTTTATACACAAGAAGGGAAGTGGAGGGAAACTTCGTCTTGTCATTTTGTAACTAAACACAAAATGCAGTTTTAATAAGCTGTCACTATTTTTTCCTGTCATTCCTATGCATGCTTATGTGCATCCCTGGCTAAAACTCAGTGCTCTTCAACACATTCTTGGAAATGGTCTAACCTGAGCTGTTGGGGTTAGTAAACAGGTGCTCATTAAATAGGTTTGATGGGAACAAAATGCAAATACAAACCAATGAAATCATCTTCAGGAGTGCATTTATTGGGCTTTTTTCCTATGCAGGAGAACACTGCTGGAACCTGGCAGAAAGTTTGCTTTGGGTGCGAAGACAAGCATGTGTTAATCACAGATGGTCTTCCTTACTGCTACAAAGATTGTATTTTTGTTTATTTTAGTCTTTCTCCAGTGAGGACCTCTTCTTTGATCTTGTTTTCCCAAGCAAAGTGTTTAGCAGCCTCTCTTAAAGAGCAAAGGAAAACCTGAAAAAATACCATTTTGCTGTTTAACTACATTTAACACCATTAATTTCCTCTTCTGGACTTATTTCACAATGTTGGACAGGCAGGTGGACTTTTGGTGGACTCTGTCCCACAAACAGGTGTTGAAAGGTCATTCTGTGATGCTTCAAAACATTGTCAACAAAAAGCTGTAATGCAATGAGTTTCAAAACCAGGAAAGGAACAGAAATCTCCCTTGCTTTTTCAGTAATGGCATAAGCAGTGTGGAAGCTTAGTTAATAGCTAAGAAAAAGGCAGGGCAAAAACTTGTAGAGCCCCTGCTGAGGCATACGAAAAATGGGTGCAGACTTTAGCAGTACGGAAGACGTTGCTGAATTCTGCTCTGAAAAAGCACCACGTGGAGTGTTCCTCCAGCAGACTGCATACATGCTCAATTTAAAGCCTAGTGGGAAATCCTTGGGTGGTTGCTTTGAAGTCATAGGCTCATGGCTAAGTGCTCAAGGTAATGTGAAAGTTCCTGCTATCGGGAGGTTTTGTCTACATATAACCGATCTCTGGTGAAGGACTATGTGTCCTTTGTACTTTTTAAGTCTGTCACCAAAATGCACAGTTTGATCCAAATCAGGCTGCTCGTTGTGTGATAAGGTTAAGCAGTATAGTGTTTTATCTGATGAAAATTACTTTCTGTCTCTTTTCTGGCAGAGGCGCTGACTGGGACACAGAGCTGGATGGACAGTACGGCGTCACCGTTCATTGCCTACTCAACGAGCTCTACAGAAAGGCAGGCCTCAATCAAGAGTGGGGCTTGATCCGTTATATTTCCGGTGTTCTCAAAAAGAGAGTGGAAGTCCTGGCTGAGGTATGAAATATAAATAATGCTTGTTCAGTTTCTTACCCGGAAACAAGAGATAAAACTACCAGTTTGCCAATGGGGCTTGTGCTTGCCACCTTCTAGTCTTACTTCACGCGTAAACATTGGTTGCTTTTCTCATCTAAAAATCTTATTATGACTTCTTTACCTTTCTTCTCTACTGTGAACTGTGCTAATGTTGGCATGGACTGAGAATGTCACACTGTAAATGACTGTGAAGGCTTCATTTCATCTCTGTTAATCAGAGAAGCTTAATTATGTTCTTTCAAAGCTGTAGTTGTCATTGCTAATTGTGTATTGCTGTTCTGATAGCATGAATGCTTTTGGAGCACCAGGATGTCACAGTGCTAGAGATGATGCTAAAACATGACCCGATGATACCTGTCCCATTGGACAGACAGTCTGTATGTGGATGTACCAAGGTATTAAAATATCTGCGACTATTTAATGGTAACAAGAAGGATCCACTGTAAGGGTACAGATTTGATTTCGAACATTACAAAAATGTTTCCTCTCAAATACTCTAAAGCATTTAATTTCCTACTTATACCTGCATATTTCTGTAGAGCTCTTTCTCTAATTCCTAGCCGTTTTCAAACCTTGGACTGTCAAGCTAGGATGCCCTATTTTGGTGATAGTCATATCTGCAGGGAGCAATTGTGATACTTGCTCTGCATGGTATTTCATTAAACCCAACCTTTTCCATCCACAAGATATGATGGACAGGCAGTACAGACACGCTCACAGAAAGCTGCGTATGTTAAATCGCAAAGGTACTGACAAAGAATTGGGGAGGAAGAGAGTAGAGATGATGTGGTTTGTTCCACACGAAGGCAGGGAAAATAGACTCTTAAAAATCAGAGGAACATTGCTCTGTGAGGTCTTTGATTCAGGATACTAAAAGAGGTAAACTGAACGCCCACTTTTGAACGAGGTCAGTATAAAAGAGTAAACCACTAGAGGAAGAACCAATTTCAGAATGTATCAGGGTGGCTAATTCAGGTATGTGATGTAATATGTTCTGTGTTTGTCTTTTTTTTTTAAGAGATATATTTATTCAAGATATATTTTTAAGACATATATTAGTACACCAAGTTTTTCTTTGATTCAAAATGGTTTTTGTCTTAAATAAAGAACAAACGTTTATTTTATGATAAAAGATAAAGTCCTTTATTGATCTGCCAGCCTCACTGGAGTCCCTACTCCCTATGCTGCTGATTTCAGAGTGGGAAGCAGGCTTCCAGCGTGGGCAGACTCTCATAGCCCTTTTGACCTCAGGGGATCTTTGGCAACTAGTTAACAGCATTCTGCTGAATCTGCATCTGGTAATTAATAGAAATGCACTTAAAAAAATTGCTAAAGAATTGTTTCATTTTCAGGAATTAAAAGCAGTATCACTTCCACGTGATTCAGAGAAGGGTCTCTTGCTTTCTGTTATGTTATGATAGGCATGCACAGACCTTCTCTCGCACCACAAGCAGCTTACTGTGGGCCTGCCACCAGAACCCCGTGAGAAAATCATTACCACGTAAGTTGGAGCCTGCCCTTCAGCTTTCTGCTGGTACCGTTCCGCTGCTATCTTCTTGTTTTAAAACTTACTCCTCACCTTCAGAAGGAATTGGAGCCACGTAGGCAGAATCGTAGGCACCTTTGCAGTGCAAAGATGTTTTCTGGGTGACTTGCTTCCAGTGCATGTTCAAGAGGTTAAAAGCAGGTGCCAGAGTCACTACTGACTGTAGTTTGCCTTCTTGCAGCCCACTGCCACCTGAGGAGCTCACAGATCTTATTTATGAAGCCAGCGGCCAAGACATCAGTATCGCAGTTCTGACGCAGGTATACAGCATGTGTAAAAAGGGTTCTTCCAGCTGTGCCCATTGCGGCGCCAGTGTTTGCTCTGTGAGTGGAGGAGCCAGTGTGACCCACTCTGAATGGGTGCCCTCATGGATTTGTCCTTACAGGAAATAATTATGTACTTGGCAATGTACGTCCGGTCACAGCCTAGTCTTTTTGTGGAGATGCTCAGGCTCCGCATTGGTCTGATAATTCAAGTGATGGCCACTGAGCTGGCCCGGAGTCTGAAGTGCTCAGGTAAGAGCAATTTTATCATAAGGGTACTTATGGCATTATTTCTGCTTCACCGAGTGGCTGATCTTTCATTTATATGTGTTAAATCCTTTTAGTAACTTGTTCATTCAGCATATGCAGTTACAGACTTTGAAAATAACTTCTCTTTTTGACTTAATGAAAGATTCCTGCCCCCTCCATCCCCCAGTTATTTGAACTGAAGTGGAGATGAAATACTTAAGTCCCTTGACTTTCAGTAAGTGTTTGAGGTCCAGGTCATCAAATTGCACGTGGGTGTGTATTTAGGGACTCAGTGCCACTAATGTCAATGAGAACTAGGACCCTAGGTATCTTCTGAATATTCGAGCCCTAATTCATAGTTCTAGTAGTTCAAAGTAATTTCTGATCTTCTTCCTTTTATGTGTTAGCCTTCTCCCCTTAATTGAAAGTGCTCCCCTTAGTGCTTAGTTGAAAAATATTTGCTGTTTAGATTTCAGCAAGTGATATGTTATTTTGCGAGGAGGTCAGCAAAAAAAAAAATTCTTACAGGCCCCCAAGATGTTGCATATGCCCTACGAGAACCCAAGAATTGAGTAACAAACAAGTGGTGCAAGGCAAAAGTATTTTAAAACTCATTTTGGAAGTGAAAAGTGAAACTAGAGAGAAATCATGACTGAAGAGAGATCTGAAAAATCACTGAAGAATCTTCCCCATTGAAAGGAGTCAGAAGTCTAAGAAGGAGCAGTCATGAAAAATAATCAAGTTAATGTGATAACTCTGTAGTCAAATGCTGACACTTAGGAGCATGATCTGGGCCATATTTTTGTGGCTCAGCTCTTGTTACCATTTCTAATGCACACCTTAAAAGGGGTAACTTTGTGGAAGCATATTTTCTGGTCTCCCTGGTTTTCTCCCTCGTGAAGTAGGGGACCCTGGTAGCTGGTTAGTTGGAGCCCACTTTGGATGCTGCTGCTCTCTAATTGGAGTGGCTGCCACTCAGGGATAGCAGGTTTCTCCCTTAGGAGAAGTTGACAAAAGGGGCCAGGTAATTCTCTGGGATAATTCTGTTTCTGTATGAAACCTGTAGCTGAATAGTAGAAGCTGCTTTTGTTCACAGTGCAAAGCTTCTCTTTCCTGGGGTCCCCTCAGTTTTTCTGTACCCTTAAATGCCAGCTGCTTTGTACACTGCCCCCAGCTTCATTACTTTTCCATGTTCTCCTATGGGAGATTTGTCTGTGCACACACGGGTGCTCACGTGTGTGTATGGGCTTTTTCTGTCTCTCACTTAACAAGCATGATCCTTTAATCAAATAAAACACAAGCCTTCCACATGCATGCATTCCTTTATGGAATAATTCTGGCTCTGTAATTTAAATCTACATGTCATCTGCTGTTGGGAGATGGCTGTCATGCCTTTCCAAGTGATCTTGCTCTGCAAAGGAGCATACTTTCTCATCATCAGCTTAAGTGAGATTTCACACAAGCTGCAGCATAATAGTCACTAATGCAAATAGTGTTACTTCCGTGCAGTGTTTGTTGTTTAGTCCTGAAATGTATTTTCTTTGAAATGTGACTCTATGTATTAATTTTTTAAAGGAAGCATTAGCCACAAAGATAAACATGACTGAACTTCATTCAGTCAGCAGCTTACTTAGGAAAACAAGCTATAAAGCCACCTATAGTGAGGTTTGTCTTTTTCTTTTCTTTTTTTTTTTTTTAAACTAGGTGAAGAAGCTTCAGAGAGCTTGATGAATTTAAGCCCCTTTGATATGAAAAATCTCCTACACCATATTCTCAGCGGAAAAGAGTTTGGAGTGGAAAGAAGCTGTAAGTTGTCCACTGGGATACTTGTATATGTTAAGTGAGAATTATAAAGTTAGATTGTCTTATAAGTAGGAATCTACTCTCTCAGTGCATAAAATAGAGGTATAGGTAATGGGTGGCCGGTACTTGTGTATGTCTGCCATGGAATGAAGAAAACAAATATAATGGCACCTGTCTTGCACTGAAATAAGATTGTATCAAGTTTTCAGTGATATGAAGGCAAACCTTTAAAATGAAGCAACTTGGTGACCAGAATGAAAACCATAATAAAAAGCTCATATTCAAGGAACATGTCTGTGATGACCAGATTCCCAACTGCCTGTCAACTGTCTCCTGGCTTCATTCTTAGGCCCTCACAGACTCATTGCAAATCTGACGTCTGTGTTTGCTCAGTGTCTTGGAAAATAAGGCCTGATATCCAGATATGGATCTAGGCCCCGACTTGATGCAATCAGGTTTGAACTATTGATGTGATTTGAAAGGACGTTGTTATGAAGAGTGTTGTATGCTTCTGAAAGGATATGTGTTTATCTTTAACAGACTCATTGCAAATCTGACGTCTGTGTTTGTTCAGTGTCTTGGAAAATAAGGCCTGATATCCAGATATGGATCTAGGCCCCGACTTGATGCAATCAGGTTTGAACTATTGATGTGATTTGAAAGGACGTTGTTATGAAGAGTGTTGTGTTGTATGCTTCTGAAAGGATATGTGTTATCTTTAATTTCTAGATACAATTTCGTCTGTTTTTCTACCCCTAGAATTTTAAAAATGTCCATTTGCTTCTTTTAGTGCGACCTGTAGATTCCTCTTCATCTAGCCCTGCAATTTCTATTCATGAAATGGGGCACTCTGGAGCAACCAAAACAGAAAGAAGTGGTATTACTAAATTGAAGAGTGAGATGAAGCAGGTGAGGGGTTTTCTGTCAATGCTCATCAGAAAACGCAGCTGTTTGGGAACTGTGTTATGTTAGGTTTTATTCTTGGTAAATGACAGAAGTTTCCAAAGATCCTTTGATTTAAAGCTGATCACTAAATGGAAGGCAGTAAGGGGATGTTTCCTCTAAAAATGTGCTTCCTTTTTTGTTCTTATTTCACATGCTGAATATAGAACTTGAACAAACTCTAATGCATTCATGGCATCAACTTTAAAACAGTTCTTTAATCATCTTTAGCTAAGGAAAGTTCAGATGTACAAAGTGCAGCTTTTGTCCAAACAATGTTCATTTTTATACTCTGCACAAGTTGCTAATGTGCTCCACATGCCTTTTGGAAAAGATACACTTGGAAAAGAAATCTTGGTTTGTTTTCTTCCTGTTTTGTTTCTTCAGAATGGAGGATGATGACTGCTAGAATATATTTAAGTTCAGTACTTTAAAGTACACAGCAACTGAGAATATTGAGAAATATCATAGAAAATACCTCCAAAGTATTCTGAATTAATGTAATTGATGTTTTTGCTATGAGTGTTTTTTATTTCTCTCTTTTTATGTTTCTATTGGTAATTTTCTTTTGCTCTAGATAAATAGGAAGGTAGTGATCAAGTAGAATGCATTTATAAGAATTAATAGCTTCATATTGTTCAGCCTGGAGCAGAGAAGGCTCCAGGGTGACTTTCTTGTGGTCTTTCAGTTTACAAAGAGGGCTTTTAAGAAAGATGGGGAGAGACTTTTTGCCAAGGCCTGTTATGGCAGGACAAGCGGCAATGGATTTAAAATGAAAGAGGGTAGGTTTGGATTGGATGTAAAGAAGGAATTTTTTATGCTGAGGGTGGCGAGGCACTAGAACAGGTTGCCCAGAGATGATGTGGATGTCCCATCATTGAAAGTGTTCAAGGTCAGGCTGGACTGGACTTTGAGCAACATTATCGAGTGAAAGATGTCCCTGCCCATGGCAGGGGAGGTTGGACTAGATGATCTGTAAAGGTCCCTTCCAACACAACCCATGCTGTGATTCTATATTAGAAACACATTTATAAGAAGATGCTTTCTTCTCAGAGCTTATCAAGCCTGATTAATTTAATCTGAGGCCATTTCTGTAAGTTTCTGAGGAAGTATGTGATATTTTTCTTTGATTGTATGAAACAGATTTGCTCAATAAGCCTTTAGAAAGAAGTGGCATTTCTGCCTGGTCTTCACATGGAGCATTTGATGGTGACAGTAAAGATCAGTTAATGATCCTTCACGGGACACGTTAAGGCTGGGAAGCGAAGGCGCCTGTGAAACGTGTGGTGTCTGTCTCACAAGACCTGGTTGCCATGTTTGAGCCATGCCGCTGCCTGAGCGTGGTCGTGGCCGAGGCTCGTGGTCAGCCGTGGCTGTGAAGGTGCTGCTAGCCGCTTTTGTAGGGGTTCAGTCTGAGCGGGGCTCACGGTCATACGGTGCCTGTATGACTTCAGGGCCTTTCCAGGATGGAAGAGGGACGAGGCACTAGGTGGCAGCAGTATTTTGTTTTAAATACAGAGGTGGGCCTGAGCTGAAACACTTGGAGGTTTGTTGACGTTGGAAAGACGTTTCCTGCGTTGCTTTTGCATTAGATGGAAACCTGGTATCTGGCACAGAGGAGGAGTTGGCTGTTGATATTTTTGTTCCCCCCACCTTTCCAGTCATGCTGCTTCCTGCAATGTCTCACCGCATTCTCTGAATAATTCACTAGATGCTAATTTAATGTCATTTTGGCAGGTGGGGGGGGAAATCAACTTTGTGTTACAAGGAGCATTTCAAGTACTTGTATTAAGGTCTCTTTGCACCAGACCTCAGGTGTTGAGAGACTGCAGCTCTCTTGTTTGTGGCTGTTGTTGTTTCCTGAGCCTGAACACCAAGCCTTTGCCTGGGTCTGAACCGTTAACACTTAATTCGGAGGCATGGCTTGGGGTGGACACTTACAGAAAAGCGCTGCAAGCCTGTGGTGCTGCATCCACGTTGCAGTAAAAATGTTGCCTTGCAGCTGTTTCTGTTTAGCGCTGCCCACCGGGTTGGCAGCTCGCAGGCTTTCTGCAACAAAATGACCTTCTCGTGCAAAGAGAAGCTGCTGACATTGCAACGAATGGGGAATGGAAGTGGGGAGCTTGGGGTTTTTTTCCCAGTCCTGAGTCACAGGGAAACTTTTGCCTGTGTCTTAAACTGTGGAGGTTTGTGTTGGCCGTGCGCGGAGCTCAGTGGATGGCGTGGGCTGGTTGTGGCTGCACCACCGCCAAGCGAGGCTCCTGGCGTGGCAGGGTTCTGCCTCGTGGTGACCCTGGGAATCGGCAGCAGCTGCCCTGACCTCAGCTGAAGTGCAGCACTGCAAGAGGCCAGAGGCTGTCACACTTTTCCCCTGAGTACCTGAGCTTACTCTATGTTTCTTGTCTGTGCACGGATGGGTTACTTAACCTTGTTTGCATCCTGTTCTGTCGTATCTGTCTGTCTGATGTATTGGTGTCTGTTTTTGTTTTGTAGTTCTTTCATGAGGGCCACTCCATGTCCAGCAGCATGTTCACTTCCACGGTAAAACACTGTCTGCAGCTCTGCACCTGCTCTTCACCCTGTGTTGTGTGTGCAAGGGTCTTAGCTCTAGTCACCTTCTGTGGCTTCTCCTGCATAAATCTTGTTTTCAAAACCTGCCTCTCTGTCTTGTTCATCTTCATTGGGAACCACTTCTCATTAGTAATCTTTTAATAGAAGTTGAGTCTCGCATTTAGATCCACTTAGTTCTTCTGAAGCTTAAGAAGTTGTAGCAGATAAAGCACTATAGCAGATTTAGCTTCTTGATGGTGGATTATGTTATAGGTGTCATCAGGATTTAAAAGTAAGGTAGTGTTGATAAATGCAGGCACTCTCTGGATAGTAATGAACCCAGAATAGCTTCGGGTTGCTGAAGCATGGGTTTTATGGGCATGGGTATCTCCTCAGGCCATCATCTCCTTTCAGGGCAGAGACCTGTAACTCTTCTTAAGCTCTCACTGTTAAGAAGGAGGATAACTGTTTAAATATTTTACCAACAGAAACCCCAACAATTTAAAGTAAATCTGAGGCTCCAAATCTGTCACAAAGAAACAGAAGGCTTGCAGCTACGCTTGCACTTTGAACTGGTGGTTGTGATTCATGGTTCTCTGCGTCTGCAGACTTTCTGTCGATGTCACACCGCCCAAGTGTCCTAAATACACAACTGCAGAGCACCAGTAGCCCTGTGGCCTGGCCTGACAACTGCCAGCTTGCTGTTGCCTCTCTCTTCCCACGTACCAGTGCAGAAAGTCAGGCTTCAAGCATGTGTTTGATTCAAGTGCACAGAATTGTTCAGTGAGATCTTTGCTTCTCTGAACCACCTGAGTAGCCAGATGATTTATTGTAAGCAGATGGATTTCTCTACTTTGGCACCCACCCTCCTGCTGACCTCCTGCATCCCCAGCTCTGCTCAGGCTGAGGTGGGGGACGTTCTGTCTGTGTCGGTGTGCAGCGGAAGGGAATAGCATGCATCGAGCCATCAAGGGAACACGACCTGTGCCTCACTGACACCAACAGGAGTGAACATGGACTTTGTTTGCTTTTACTGGTCTTTTTGCACAGCTTGGCTGTGAAGAGTCAGTGAGCCTATCCTTTGCAAATACACAGTTTTTGTTCTTATTTCCCACCTTCCCCAGTACTTGGCTCAGGCAGTTCCTTACTCAGAGATGATGGGATTTGAGATGGGGCTGTCAGTGGAGTCCTTTCCGGGCTGAAAGTAGTAGGTGTGCAAAAAGGAACAAGGAAACAAGCACAGTCTCTGGGAGTGCAAAGAGTAGGAAGACTACATGTGTGGAAACGGGAACAAGAATTTGGTGGTAGTGCCACAACTTTGAAGATGATTTGCTGCCTAATTTAGTCTCCAAGTCTCGTAGAGTAAAATCATAGAGCAATAGTGACAATAAAGGAAACACGACTGATACTTACAGAGAGGCAGGCATGATGACTACATGACCACATGAAGTAATTTTTTAATCTACTTACTTTAATGGAGCTTTTTGCATGGAGGACCTTTCTTGCTGGACTCATGGACCTTTTGGTTCTCTTATGACACTTAGACTGAAGTCTGAGTCAGACCTACCTGCAAATCCCGCCATCTGGCACACCAGTGACACTGCCCTGGCAGCCAGCTCATACTTGTTAAAATAGTCATGCCTTGTGTTGAACCAAGCAGTGAAGTTTACAGTGTTATGCCTTGTTGAACTGCTTCCCTGTTTTGTCGAGAAATGATTGAAGTACTGGAGAAGTGAAGCTTGTTGTGAAGGGGAGAGAAAGGGATCAGTCCTGCTCTGTCATCTTGTATGACATCCTGGCCTCTATTTTTTCGCTGGTTCTGAGGTAGCATTGTTAACAGAATGATGCAGTCACCAGGAGTAGCATTTGGGGTGGTAGAAAGCAGCTAACCAAGGCTTTAATGTTTCTTGCAGAAAGGCAGTACTCCATCATCTCCCACTAGTACTTCTCCTACTGGCTCCAGTGGAGACACGAGCTGGGGTGACCGAAAAGGGCAGTGGCTGCGCAGACGGAGGCTTGATGGTGCTATTAACAGAGTTCCTGTTGGCTTTTATGAGAAAGTATGGAAAATCCTTCAGAAGGTAAGTTGATGGATGTGGAGGGCAGGAAGCAAGCAAGCTGTACCATAACTTGGGAGGTGGTGGTCCAGAGGCGGTACGTTGCGGAGAATTGATGTTGGTCTTCAGCTGGAAGACCAGTGGAAACCAGTGTCATTAGCAGGATGTGAACATAGGATTGAACATAGAAGGGCTCCATTAGCACAAGTTCACGTGTTTGTTTGTATTTTTCTCTGAAACCACTGGCACTGAATTTCAGCTGAACGGTTCTGTTCCACCACTCTCTCTTTTGCATTGCCCATGGCGTAATGCAAGTTGTGATCAGTGCTGCTGAAGGACACCACAGTGTTGTGCTGTTTGTGTGCACCAGTTCAGAAAGGCTGTGAGGAATGAAGTAGGAAACTGCACTGACTCTTCCAAAAGGTCTTGAGATCTCTTGCTGGCTCTTCTGAGCTCTGTGGCATTCTTAGCATTTTTCTGTTTGTTTTTAAGTGAAAAGTAAGTCCTTGCCAGCACCTTGGAGATCAGGGGTATGGAAATGTGTTGAAGCAGCTCTCCAGGAAGGAGGAGAGGGGAATTAGGAGTTTTTACTAAGTTCAAAGTGATTATGCACCATTTCCTGATGAAAGCCAGAATCCGGCACCTTGCAGTACTGAGCTGGTCGTGCCCACACAGTTGGGAAAAATGTGCATCACCAGCTCAGGTTGATTTTGGTTGTCCTTCAAAAATCACTTATGCTGAAGCTGCTAGCGTTGATGTCAGCCAAGATGAGTCATATATGACCTTGTGGCTATTTACTAATGGGATCTTTCAGTAGAGTGAGCATCACTTCTGTCCTGACCTCGCGTAATAGCTGGGAGTGTTGGAACGGTTTTCTGAGTATTAAAATCAATTGCACTTACTTAAGTTGTCTTCAATATTTCATTCTTAAACTCCCTTTAGACTACTCATTAAAGCTCTCTTCTTCGCAGTGCGTTTTTGTACCTCAGGTAGCCAGATGTGTCATTCCTTTGCCTGCTTTCTCATCAGTTAGATTTTGTCACTCTTTTCTGGTGTACCACTTGGTGTTTCTGACACCACCTCTTCCCTGGTGTTGGTGGCCTGTGTCCAAGCACCACAACATGTTGACAATCCTGAGTTGTGGTGCCCTGGAGCTGAAACACTTAGTACTAAGTATTGTTTTAGCAAAAACTGAAAAATGAAGTTTCTCGCTTTCGTGGTCTGTTGTCATGCTTTTGCAGTGTCTTTTATTTCTACATCCTTTCTCACAGAATGTTCTCGTTGATTTGTTTTCCGCCTTTGTGTGCCTCTTGCTGTAGTGGCTCTCTAAGTACTTTCTTCCCCTTCTGTAACTGGACTGGAGCACAGCACGCTCTCTATGTGTCATGTCAGGCTATTTCTAACGTTTGCCAGTTTATATAATAATTTCTTCAGCAAAGGTGAAATAATATTTTTAACAGGTTTTGTTGTTGTTTGGGGTTTTTTGTGGATTTTTGTGGAGTTTAACTGAGGGTTATTGCATATTGGCTTACTTGCAAGAACTGTAATTTCTGTTCATTATCAAAATGATGTTGTTTCAGTGCCATGGTCTGTCCATTGATGGGTACGTCCTTCCTTCTTCAACCACCAGAGAGGTACAGTAAAATGCCAACGATTTTCTAGCCCCATGACTGACTGTTCGGTTTGACAGCGTTAAGATGTGCTGTTGCAGATCCTTAGTTTGAAGAAGGTTAGAAGATCTGGACCTTCCCTCCAGCGCTTCTGCCAGCTTCCCCAGGGCTGTGTGGTTGAGTTCCTGCTGGACAGGCCTGGAGCGGGGTCGTGGCGGGTTTTCCCCTTTGCCCAGCCTGCCCCCTGCACACCTTCATTGACCCCGTGGAACAGTGCTTGAAAGAGGGTGACTGATGGCACTCCTTCGGGCAGGGGGAGGAGAAAGCGCAGCCTTGTTGGAATAAAGCAGACGCATTGCTCGCCACTTCGGTTGTTTTAATATGCCACAATAGCAGCCGGTGTATTTTGGCATCACGGTCTCAAAAGTAAATACCTATTAAGGATGATTGTTTCTAACCAAAGCTTGGACACTTTAAATCCATAACCTTTCCTTACATTATTTTTTCCTTAGTTGGATTGTGACTCTGTCTTTAGGCACTCTAATTCAAGTTTTGAATTCACATCTATAACACAAACTCTTGTGAACAGTAATCCATCAGCAGAAGAGAGGTGCTTGTGTGCCTGAGACTATTTTCCTGTCTCGTTCCCTCAGATTTGTCTCTGGCTTCCTTCTCTTCTGAGGGATGGTGGTAACAGCTAAAGAGAGAGGAGCTGGAATTTTCTGCCAAATTTAAACCTTTTTCTGCAGAATGGAGAGCTTTATTTATCCCTATTGTGTAGATAAACAGGCTTATCTTTTTTGCCTGTCAGACCTAGACAGTATCTAATTTTGCTGTTTAAAGGGATCAAACAAGCACAAACCTCCTAAGGCAGCAGCCTTTATGCCAGTGCAAATTAGGCTGCTCTACAAACCATATAGCTATATCTCTGTGTGGAAAAGCATTCACTCCAAGCAGGTGGTTATTTTTAAAACTCAACAGTAATTTTGGCTTTGCAACTAACCTGCAATGCCAGAAAGATACTTACAAGGCAGAGTGCCTGAGACCGCAGCAAGAGGAGCAAAGAGTTAATTTGCCAGCTAAGCATCAGCGGTCCTGTGTGTAACTAAAACGTGTGATGGGTTGCAGGGCTGGAGCAGTCTTCTGGAAGTTGCATAACTGTTTGCAGGAGCAGGGCCTAGCAACACAAAAAGCTTCTGTAAGTGCTAAAGCCGTGCAAAACATTTTGTTTGCTTCAATCAGACTACCCCCGTGTGCAGAGAGGAGCATATGTTTAAGCGCTTGCAGGATGTGGGGAACTAGTCTTTTGGAGTTGTCAGTTTCTCTTTCCGTTTCCCCTCAAACTTGCCAGATGACCCCGTGCGAAATCAAGTTTGCAGTGCACGTGGAGTCGGTGCTGAACCACGTACCCCAGCCCGAGTACAGGCAGCTCTTGGTGGAAGCTATTCTGGTTCTCACGTTCCTCTCTGACATCGAGGTGAACAGCATCGGGGGCATCATCCATGTGGATCGCATCGTGCACATGGCCAACGACCTGTTTCTGCAGGAGCTGGTGAGTTCAAAGGGCAGCAGTGGGAAGCCTCCGCATTTGAAAATTGTCCTCTGCTCCTTTTTTTAATACGTGTGGTGGGCTTGATTTTTTTTCCCTTATGCTTTACCCCTGCAAAGACAGATCAAATCACTTAACATCTTCTGGAAATATATTTGGAAAACTAATTAGAGAGTTGTGGGAGATTTAAAGGGAATAAAATTATGGTGGCTAACAAGCTCTGAAGTGGGTAGACTGAAGTGAAGTTTTGCTTCACCGAAGCATTAGAATTACCAATATTTGAGTAATCCTGCCTGCCCTCCCCGCAAAGGGCAAAGTCTGTGAAGATTTTACTTACGCTGGTCCAACTAAGTCATGTGGGTCCTATAACAATCCTTACAGAGGTTTTCATGAGGGGAAAGGAAAATTGCTTTCAGTATTCGGCACAAATGCAAAATCATCATGTCGCTGTTTTTTTTCCAGTAAACGAGCACGCATGCCTAACTTCCCCTACTCTGCTTGTGTCTTTTCAGAAAGCATTCGGAGCTACTGGTAGTATCTTGGAGAAGGACGTAGCCACAGGAATTTGCCACTTTTTTTATGACAGTGCTCCAAGCGGGGCCTATGGCACCATGACGTACCTAACAAAAGCCATAATTATTTATTTACACGACTTCCTGCCTAGCACAGGCTGTGCGATGCAATAAGCGATGCCTCCTGCGGGAGGGAAGGCTCAGAAGCTCTTTCTCCCCGTTTCCCTTTCATGAACCTCTCGTTTAGTTGCTGCATGTATGTGTGCCGTGCACTACCTCAGCGTATTAGGCTAGTCGTCATGCTCCGTGCATGCCTACCTGCAGGGGACAGGTAGGTGGAGTTTGGCCTGGTGTTAAGAGAGCATGTGAGAAATAACAAATAATGAGGCTTATTCTGCCTGAAGTGCTTAAATGTAATTCATATTAAATTAGCAAGAATTACACAGTTCTGCCAAGGGGAAAAGAGATTACTCTGTGGAGAGCAAAAGGCATAATAAAACGAGGGAGCTGTATCTTGGGCATAAAGTCTCCCAAATAAGGGAAGTGATGGAATTCATGAATTTTTCTCCTGCTGTGTGTAAATGTACAGCATTGTGAATCACCAGTGCACAGTGTGAAACATCCAGGGAAATGTAAATTAGAGGAGTAGGAATAGCTTGAAATAACCAGGTAATATTTCTAATACATGTTTCTCCTGATTCTCGTCTCATTTGTATCCAGTCAGCGCAGGGCTAACACCAGTAGAGACAAATGTCTTACAATATCCGCTAATTTGAGAGGATAGCCTCTCTTGGGAAGCTGCATCTCTCTGTAATCTGAACCAAATAGCTCCCTTCCCTGCATCTCCAAGGCTTCGGAGGCAAAATCTCAAGACTCCAGGTTCTCCAAGGTGACAGACAGTTTTATGCCTGTAATCCCTTCCTCTGAATGGAGCAAGATAAACTTCTTCCACTGAAGCGCCCTTTCCAGGTCTCCTGAGCCTTTCCCTTGCAAATAGCCTCAGAGTTAAGAATGGCATAATTCCCACCCTTCCAGCGCCACATAAGGTTATGCAAGGCTTTGATGTTTGTCTTTTTTTTTTTTCCCCCCCTTTTCCCTTTTTTCTTTGTTCTTTCTTTTAATTCGCAGTCGCACTTGTCACATGTAGTTAGGGATGGGCTACCTGGAAGTCTCCCTTCAGCGGGCTCCTGGGTTAGTGCCTGCACCTTGAATCTGTCCCCGGGAAATCAGTTTCTGTGGCTGCTCTGAGCAGCTGCAAGGAGAATAGGTGTGTCCGTGGCCATTAAAACTGAAAACAGAGGTAGGCTGCCCCCGAAAGGGAAAAAACCCTGCTTTACCTCAGGCATTGGTTGCGGTTTTCCTTGTGCCGGTGCTGCTGGTTTTGCCACCAGCCAGCACGCATCTGGCTCACGGCTTCAGAAAGTGGCTGTAGCTTTAGCCTCTCCCACCACCCTGGGCTCCCTCAGCTGTGCTGGGCTATGCCGG